TATTTATTTACGAATATAACGCTATAATATTGTATACGAAACGATAATTTTTATATTATTACGAATGATTCAAAAAGTGATATACATATTTTATATACGACTTATAAGATAGTACGAGTGCGTAAACGACAGTATTTCTTTAGCATCTAGTATGCATTATTGTATAAATTTATCGACATAGCGAGTACTATAGAATTGAAATAAAGAAAATAGAGAAGAAGAAAAAATCAGGAGCTTGAAACACGGCATTATCGTCATTTCTTTCAACTATTTAATCATAAAATATTTACAGTGGTAACAATGCATCTCTTCCTCTGTCTTGTGCTATGCACGTAAGTATATATATACAAGCAGCGCACGCTCGAACAAATTAGTACATTACAACGTTGCCTGAGAAATCGTCTAATACCTACAAATACATGCTACATACGGTGTGTGTGGGGAAAGGACGAGGCTTTGCAGTATAGCATATATAACTTGCCCAAGACGATACATAAAGGGCCCTTTGCTCGCTCGTATCTATATACTCAAGAATGGTAGAGAGAAAGAGAGAGAGAGAGTAAAAAAGGCTCACGCGAGAGGGAGCATCGTCCCCTCTCGTTGCAACGGCGAACTCATCGCGGCTGAAAAGACGACGGTGCAGCGTAGTAGTAACGTCCGCTGCACGTATAATACTTGTGTGCATATGCGCGACTAGCACCGGCTAAAACAGCGAGGAATCCCTCAGTCGCGGCTGAGTCAGCGATCGCGACGGTGTGCGGCCCCCTGTTCAACGAGAAAACAACGAGAATAGCGTAACAATAGTTGCTGGTCGATCGTTCGACATTAGTAATCGCATTCGCGCGTGATCCGCACCCGACTCGGCTCTCGTCTCGTCTCGTCATCCGCCTTTATATATACACGTCAAGTCTCCCCTGCCGAGGCCACCGATCCGCGCCTCACGCGCACATTATCATTTATAATGCTAAAAAAGGTTCTGGTGCTAGTGCTAACGGTGCAGCTGCTGCTGGAAGTCTGCTCGGGGCTGGCGCTGCCCTTAAGCGGCGCGTCGGAGGCTGCCGCGGGCCGCTCTCTCTACGACCAGCGCCAGGAGGGCGACCTCAACGTGCGCGTCGACTTGGACAATTTCGTGCTGCTGGTAGCGAGGCCGGTCTCGAGCCTCGATCTCTTCGGGGCCATGGCCGGTCTGGCGGCCGCCGCCGACGCCAAGCACCAGAGCAGCGACATACAGGCAGCCCATAGTCCAGCTGCCAACGAGCAGCAGCAGCAGCAGTCGCACGAGGATGATCAGCTGAACAAGGAGGAGCCGAGGGCCGCTGCGGTGGTAGTCGCGTCGGCGGCGGCCACCAGAAAGGAGACGGCCAAGGGCCTCGAGGAGGTCGTGCGGACGCTGCGCAACATGAAGGAGAAGGAGCTGAGGGACCGCAAGGAGTCCGAGGAGAGATCGTCGTCCGGCCTGGACGCCAAGTACAAACTGCTCGAGTCGGTCGCGGAGCCGCAGAACCTCAAGCTCGTCGGCGACGCCGTGGAGAACTGCGGACCCGGCAGGCATCGCGACAGCAAGGGTATCTGTCACGGAGAGAAGTCAAAGGCTGATGAATAAAAATAATCACACGTATCACCATACGTTTTACGTTTTTGCATTTTAATTATTTATTGTAAGCATCTCTTCGCCGAGCTTTATGTATTAGCGTGTACGCCCAGATGATATTATTATTATTATTATTACTATACTATTATTGCAATGCAACAAATGAATTAGAATATCGGTGTGTCCAAGTATATCGTACATAAATATAATATTTTATTATCGTCGTATTCGCACGCACAATATGTACAAGTACAATTTGTATCTACTGCTAAGAGGTTTATTTTCTTCATATCGGTTACCCTGATGAGATTCAATAATAATATGACTAAACTTTTTTTTGATAGCTTTGATTATGGTTTTGTTTTCAATGAATCGCGGCGAGACTCACCCATTATATATCATAGCCGTTTATATTAAAAAACATTCACACGCTAGCACTCATTTCTACTGTCACAATTATTATGGACTATCGACAATTATTGGATCGGCTGTTATACTGTACGTCTTTGTAATCGTGCTTCCTTATAACCGTGATATATTTGTATGTAATACGAGAGCACAATTTAATTACAAAAAAAGTATAAAAAAATAAAACTCACGCAAATAAACGACACGTCCATGTGCGAATGTTCCTTTGAGTTATTTAAGTATTTATTTATTTTATCCTATACATGCGGCGTTTATCGTATTCATATAACTCTGTATACGCTTAAAAAACGTATAATTATACAATTTCATTGCACGCGAGGCATTGTCTCGCTGAATGTATACGATTGATTATCATAAATGTATTACAATATTCCAATTGTCAATAAAAACAAAAAATTGATCAAGTTCACTCCAGACGACAAGTTTGATACCTTTATTTCATACCTATTGCTGTTATATTCGATAAAAATTGGCATCAGCTGGGACACTCGCAATGTCTTAGTTGGAAGGAAGAAAACAGTTTGAATTTGCATCTCGAAACGGTACCAGCGTCGTACAATATAAACCCACCGACGCTAGCCACTCTCCACGAGTTTTCTTGAAAAAAAAAAAATGCCATAAAACGACTCGCGTGTACACGTGCATTCGGGGCCAATCTCTCTGCAGCTCGATTATAAAAGACAAAAAGAAAAAAAAATGAAGCCGAAACTGTTATTCTCACCTCGAGTCGAAAATAATCGCTTACAGTTATATGAAGCGCGCAGGCGGCTATTTACTCGTAGCTATCCGCTGCGCGCGGAAAAATCCCCCGCACCGCCGCGGAAATCGGGGGCGAGAAAGAGATAGAGCGAGCTTTGACCAGTCGCGGCTCGAAAAATATTACATTATAGCCGAGCAGCTCCATTCGAAGAAAATGTGTGCGCGCGCGCGCGCCTCCTCGTAAACGATGTAGCATTTCCAATTGCCATTTTGCGGCTTTGCATACGTAAGTACGTACGATCGTTTGCGATAAGTCCGCGTTTGGTATAATAGGCCAAGAAATGTCGTGATGGACGGCGGGGGCCGATGATTTAACGATATTCGAATCGGCTCGAGTTGTAAATCGACGAACGTAAAATGTACGAAAGAAAGGACTCATCTCGATTGTCTTACGTGCTCGTGTTTGTCTATGAAAAGTAGAGCAGCTCGCAGAATCTATACACGAATTCACGTTAGAAACTCCCCCGCGTTATAAATAAAGCCGATCTCTCGATTGAATCGGTCATCATTACGGTACCTTTAAATGTCAAATTGTTACATCTTCATCGTTACTTCCTTTTTTCTTCTTTTCTTATCGTCGAGTCACGGCCGCAAATATTCAGAGATGGTTTCTCCAAAGTAAACGAGCATATATTGCACGAAAAGAACCGTCTCTATAGAGTCGCGTGAAAAATTTGCCAATCACAACTCTGTGCGTGTACGATATATTACGGCTTTGATCGGGGCTCGTGACACGCCACATTTGTATAAATAAAAGTCGGTGCCGCAAATATCCGCGCGGGTAATTGATACGCAAAAACGAAGATTTACGTACGACGTGCGCTCGTACTTGTAAGGGTTTTCGCAATTGCGTAGAGGCATCGAGCACCGAAGGTGCTTATACATGTAGCACCCAACACAAGTATATAATGTACAACGTGCCGCATGGTAAGATTGTGCTGCTGCTGCTGCTGTAGTAAGTGCGCTGGTGCAGGGCAACGTCCGGCGATGGCCCCTTACCTTGACAGCGTGTGTACTTGGGATTCACGCGCCGTTGCCCTCGCGCTACTCCTGTGTATGGTATACCATATACATAAGCGGCCCACGGCAGAGAAAGAGGAAAATAAGCAACAGGAGGCTTATACCCGCCAAGGAGGTGGCTCGGCTTTTTCTCTCCTTGCTCTCCTCTTCCTCTCTCACTCGCAATTGCTCGTATAGCCGGCACGCGGCGCACCAAGGGAAAATGTACATCCACCGCTGCACGCAGTAGCGAAGCGCGAGTGCAATATCGAGAAAAGCCCGTACGCGCGAGGCTCCGTACGTATATAGATCTCGCGGCGTTACGGTTCGATGTACTCGCGAGCTTAAAAATAGCACGTACGTAGTACGTGCATCCTTGCAGATCGCGAGGGAGTAAGGAGGACGAGAAATAAGAAAAAAAAAATGAATTGGCCGCTCTTCGCTAGTTTGGAATCTCGTGCAAAGATAGACCGCAGTCCGTTCTATATATATAAGGCTCGATCGACGCGCGCGAGCTATTATGTAAATGTGAAAAAGCTCGACTAGGCGCGCTGAGAAAGAGGCGAGAAGAGCAATTAAATGGACGTACGTGTGTGTGTGTGAGCGCCCGACAAAGAAAAGACAACCCCCTAGAGCTGCGTCGACTGCATCTATTGCACGCGACTGCTAGCAGCAGCTGACTCCGATCGCAAGAAAAATTAAGACGAGGCAAAAAAAAAAGTATTTGTAGGTAAAAGTGGATGGCGATGGTGGTGGTAAACGAGCGCACGGCTGACCCCACTCTTTCTCTTCCTCTTTTTCTCTCGAAATTCGGCAATAGGCGAGCGGCGCCGGGCCCGGTTTCGTCGATACCTACACACGCTACTCTTTACAGCCAAGTCATTAATCAACGGCGCGCATAGAGGAGGAGTCGCTCTCTTTCTAGCCTCCTAAGCCTAAAATTATCCAGGGAGAATGGATTTACCTACACGAATCCTAGGCAAAGGAGTCAGGGTAACAGCCAGTCAAAGAGCTGGTATATAATATAAATACACGTACAAACACACACAACTCGACTCGGCTCGAGCAAGACTCTGAGAGAGAGGGAGAGAGAGGAGGAGGTTGTCTTTCCTTCGCTCCGAATACTTTACCCATACACTCGCACATATATATACGCGCGCAGCGAGCAACGACAGCGAGAGGTATATATATATGTATACGTGTATACAGCAGGTCCTTGAACTTGGCCTGTGCTTACATGCACGCGGACCTCGAGAGCGATCGTACATTGACTCGATCCCAACGCGAGCGACGACGCCAAGGAAAAGCGAGCTCGAGCCAGTGCAGTGCCCCGCAACCTGCACGCACAAGGGAAAAAAGATCGGAACACAGAGAAAGAGAGAGAGAGAGAGAGAAACGGAGAAGGGGGTACAAAGTACAGGAGAGGAGCTTAACGACTTATGCGCACTCGTATGTACTTATTTATCTTCGGGGACTTGGCAGCCACACAGAACGGCCAGGGCCTTCGAGCGAGACGGACCTCTACGTGCCACGGCCGTCGTCGACGTCCTGGGACGCAATCACTGGCCGAGGCCTATTGGCTCTGCGACAATTAACCGAGTACCCTTCTCGCCTAGCGGCGAATACGGGTAAGTTTATTATTACTCTTATCGTTAAATATTCGCATTTCTATGTGTATCTTCTAAATTAATCGATCGATCATACCTCCACGCAAATTTTAATTATTAATTATTATTATCAATCATAAACAACCAATTTAAATCTTGTACCAAACCGAACGTTGCACTCATCTTTCTTTATCGATCGATACATTGTGTAAGACGGAAATCTGATATGTTCAATTTATACGCACAGCCCCTTTCGAGAAATGGAGAACTTACGCTCGTTCGAAGTGATCCTCTCTCTCTTCCTGGCGCTGACTTTGCTCGCAAGCCGTACGAGCGCTACGCCGATCCTCTTCCCGACCGAGTCGAATTTGGCGCGCGACCCACCGCTCCCGATCTCGCCGATCGCCAACGAGACTCCAGCGGCTGCTGCGGCTCCGGCAGCTACGATCACGGCTGCACCATTGATCGAACAGGACAAGAGCAACGATCGCGACATCGATCGATACGATCAGCGTCAAAACGGCACCGAGAATTATAGGGTTAATGGTCGGTTCGAAAATTCCTATCGCGCTTGAATCAAAGGATTTTGAACAAGTTTTTTATTCTTTTCTCTCGTTCTTTTTTCGTCGTTTGCAGTCGATGGTCTGGTTTTTATTTTGGCACCGGCCGAGACACTCTTGATGGGTGCTGCGCTAGGACCCGACTTTAGCTCCATGTTCACGGAGAAGCCATCCAAGCCCGACTCGAACGACGCACTGACTATCAAGCCTAAGGATCACGAGAAGGTCGAGGTAGTGCCCAAATACGACATATCGCCGGATTCGTCGGTACCCGCTGCTCACCACACCAGCAGCAGGTGAGTCTGCATTGCTCTTGCTGCCGCTGCTTATCGTCACACTTCTACATTCCGTGTTTTCAGGTCAAAGCTGCGTATCTCTCATCTAATTGCACCCTTCCTCAGTCGTTTCCGACATGCTCAGCAACAACAGCAGCAGCAGCAGCTACACCAACATCATTTTTGAAAAAAAATAATTCTAAATCTCGTAGTACAAATGTAGAATTATATATTACTGATTCATCCGCATAATCAAAATGTCATTATCGTCCCATTTTAGAGTTTAAGGTTTTTTGTATCAAGTGATATTAGAGTCTATATATATCTGCATATGGCATGTATGCATGAAAAATAAACAAAGTAAATAATGGAAATATACTTTAAAAATTATTTCTATAAATAACAAATAAAGACTGTATTATGGAAATGTGATTTATTTAGTTTTCTAAAAATATAATATAAGGTACAGTTGATAATACCTATAGTTATCTGGCCTATGGTCATTCGTTCATTTTTTGTTCCATTTTATTAAAATGAACATTGTAAATGGGATATAAAAACGAATATGTACTATAATAATTGGCTGTACAAATCATGAAAAGCTCGAAACGGCACATTAGAAAGTGCCACAAAAACATTTAGGCGTTTGGTATACTAATCAATGAAGTTAATAATAAATATAATCTTTAAAGTTACTCAGTCCTTGTACAGCGTAAGCATAAGAGTTATAACTAATTTTTTTTATTTTGTCATTTTGGGACAAAGCGAAAACATTGGTATATATGATATTTTTTAACAAAACTCAATTCGCAGATAAAGCGAAATATATAGTTTTATGCTAATTAGCAAGGCAAATTCATTAAGGTCAAAATTAGCACGGAAGCTCATTCTTAAAATGATGATACAATTCATGTTTGTAAAGAAAATAATCATTTTTTTTGCCAATTGTTATTTCCAATTTACACATCACAGTGGCATTTCATTACGCGAAGGTTTATTTCCTTCACTCAAAAAAAAAAACTTAAGAATATAATAATCACTTTCATTTCATCAATATTTACAATCATTTCATTAATTTTCTCATATTTATCATTCGATTAAGCAAAATTGCATTATCCTAACAATTTGATTTGATCACCCTGATCGAAAATGTTTTAATATTTTTCAATAATTCATTTGATTCTTGTTTGAAGAACTATATTTACAATAAGCACGGGGTTCGTTCAAAATTTTTAATAGCATTTTTTCAACACTAGGCATCAAATGCTGTTCAGGTTGAAGATTTCTTTTTGTTCCGTAGTTTTATCATCTATTACAAAAGCAATTGACTGGTAGAATCAATAAAAATATATTTTTATCTTGCACAACCTTTTTTCCGGTTTACGAACATATTCTGGACGATAGTCGAGTAGAACAACTTGAGTTAATATTTTCATCTTTCTTATCGTCCGTTGCAGTAATTTTTCTTTCTGTTTGGCCATCAACTCTCAATTCCTTTGCATTATTTATCTAAAAATAGTTCATTGCATTTTATGAATTAAATTAAATAGAATGAACGCTGACATAACAGAGTGTTACCTCTTTTATAACATGCTTACAATTTTCAAGTATGTTTGTCCGATCACTAGTGCCGTTAGAATAATTTTCCTTTTCGTCATGCGAATATTCAGCAACCTTACGTTCCGCTAACAAAATTTCTAATCGCAACTCCAATTCCGTTCTGCAGTACAGACGCAATTTTATTTATTATAATAGCTGGATGGTAATAAATTTAAAAAGTATTTACTCACTTTTCGTCTTTTAATTCTTGAATACAAGTATCGTTTTCCAATTGTATGATTCGTAAAACTTTCAAAAGTTTAGTCAAATAGTTATCAACATCAATAACTTGATCAACCAAGCTACTAGAGGGCGGACAATAGTCAGTCAGTGAAGCGTCAAATGGACCGTTTTCGAGTATATGAGTAGCATCCAATTCTTCCTCTTCATCTTCAACCTAAAATAAACAATACGTTTTAGACAGTAGAAAATAACTGTGTACAATATTTTTTCATAAATACTAACTTTTCGTCTGTTCATAATTGCCTGAGTCAGATTTGTTAAACTACTTGTTTCTTTTCTTAGTTTGGCTTTTCTAATTTCGTTTTCATCGGCAACGGGGTCAGAAATACTCATAACTCTTCTAAATGAATCACAACTTGATATCATATTGTGCGAATAAGTATCAGGCAATGAAACATCTTCTAAAACGTTTTCCATCATGAGACAAGGTTCAGTCTCAAAATCTAGAAGGTCGGACGTAGATTCAGTTGTGTTCGTTTCTGCAAGAAGATAAAGGTTTAGCATAGAAACAATTTCTTGCAGTGAGAGTTACACAATTACCTTTTCGAATAGGCTTATTAATTTCTACAAGCTTTTTCTCGTTCATTGGCTTCATGGCAAAAGGATGCGTAGCGGCATTTCGTATTGCTCCAATAACGGCTGAGACAAAAGAACCTCGTTTTGGGCTCGGCGTACAGTCTTTGGTACTATGTTTTGAACTAACAGGGCTTGACTCGACACTACTATTACTTCGACTAAAGGCTTCATTGTGGTAAATTACATCCTGTGAAAAATAGATCTTATTGTAGTTGCAGTGAAAAGCAAAATAGATAAGATAACAAATATCGCGAAAGAAAAAAGGAGAAAGAATATATTACGAAAAATAAACGTGATATTTAGTTTAATTAATTGTTTGTCAACTTACCTCGAGATCCTTTTCAGAAATATGATAAGATATAATCAATTGATCTACTAAACCCTCCAATCTATGTCCAAGGCCTGAGAGAGCGACCGAGGCACCCGACACGGAAGCGCCTTGAGCAAGTAACAATTCACGACTTCTTCTCTCGACTGCATTCAATTTCATGCTTAACGAGAGGTTTTCTTGTCGCCTCTGCTCGCTAATTCGCACAAGGTGCTTACACTCTTCCGTTTGTCTATCCAACTCCGACGACAATTGAGCGATACTCTTTTCTTTCTTTGCCAGTTCAGCCTCCGTATCTTTTAGAGCTGCCTCCAACATTGCTTTTTCTTCTTGCAAAAATTCTTTTATTTCAAGCGATTCGATTTCCAAATCTTGATTTTGTTGCATTAATTGTTTTTGAGCAGTTAAACTTTTCTCCAAATCCTAAAAGACAAGAAAATAATTAATATTTTCTACCCCCTTTATTTCTTGAAAAAAAAAAGTACATTAGAGAGACAATCTTACTCGGCTCAACATTCTACATAGTGACTGTAAATCGGCAATTTCCATTTGTTGAGTTGCGACAACTTTTCCTGAAGCGTGAATATGTGTTTCAAGTTCCAAAAAGCTATCGCTGCCATCTAAAAACATTAAAGAAGAATTTTTCATAATGTTCACTTGAAAATGCTTAAATATAAATAATCGGTACTAACCGTGCTCTGATTGTGGTGTACCGAGCATAGCAAGTACTCTTTGTGCATTTTTGTCAAGTTCTTGCCTAGCAAAAGCATGATCAGCCTTTTCTTCTTCTAATTGTTTTTTTAGCAATTCCACTTCAGCTCTCAATTTATTGTTTTCTTTTTTATTTTTATCGTTATCTACCGTAACTTTCTCCAATTCCGTCTTCATTTTCTGAATTTTTTCCCAATCATCTACGGTTTGAGTATCTTTCGTGTCCAAGTCTGGAACTGGCACTTTGCCTGCTAAACAATTAGCGAAGTCTTCACCTACGAAAAAATGCACCAAAATTATTTTAATAATTTTTTGCTTTTCAAGAGTAAAAAAATTAAATCAACTCGAAAAGGAAAAAATACTTGCCAGACCAGTTTGTTTGTACCCCGAATTCGCGGTAAATGCTCACTCTCTCGACATTGGTTCTCTGCGGCTTTGCGCTTGGAGGTAGGCTCTTGCTCGCCAAACCCGCGTCTTTAGCAGAAATCGATCTCCTAGACAGTGGTCGAGCTAAGCTTGCCTCTCTACTGCCGGATCGACTTCTGTAAGCCGTGGGCGGCTTACTGTCACCGACCGTTTGTTTGGACATGGCCAATTTGTTGTGTCGCATCGTGCGAGGAATAGTGCCGTAAGCTTCGATCGTGCGACCAGTACCGTCCAAGCTTGAGGTCATTTTATCGAGATGCCTCAGGCTGCGCAGTTCTGGTCGCTTCGAATTGTACAAACTCGAGCTGCGACACACCGGCCTCCTACCATCTTCCGATGGTGTCGAACAAGTGGTTCTTGAAGCCGCTGCTGTTGCTGTAGCTCGACTGGCCGATACTCCTTGTCGAGGTTTTGTCGTTACTATTTCAAAGGGCAGCACAATAAAAATCAATAAGCCATGCTTGAAATTTCGTTTTATAAAAATAACGAGGTCAATTATACCGTTCACTCGTCCTCTCTGTGCAAGATCTTTGTTGATTTCGTTGGTCAGCGCCGACGGCAGTGTATCGGGCCTCGTCGACCTTGATTTGCAACTGGCGCTACTAGCTCTAGCGGCCGAATTCGTTCTGCGAACGGCCGTGCCGCTCGTCGTCGTCGTTTCTTTGGTCACTGGTTGCTTTTCGCGCGATCTGCCTCTGTCCCTGCTACCGGCGACGTTCGTTTGCGACTTGGTCAGACTGTTGAGCCGCTGACTGGACGAGGTGCGTGGCTTGGCCCTTGCCCCGTTGGCGCAGGTACCGTTGACGAGGCAGCTCGTCGACGCGGTCAATTTCGACAGCGCTCCTCGTTGCTGCTGGTGCTGGCCACTTTTGCTGCTCTTCTGCGACTCGATCGAACTGCTGCTACTACTGCCGTTGCTGTTGAAACGAAACGTCGCACATTTTTATTATTAGCGATCGCGACGGCGGCTGCGCGCTCGTCATCTTTCATTTCTTTTTCTCTATACATATTTTCGAAACCAATGGCACTTAATTACAAAATCGTCGTTACTCAATATCGCACGCCCCAATCGAATCGTCTCTCTTATGCGCGAAATTTCCACAAAATATCTAATTCTGATTGCCGTGACGCATTTTCAAGCGATACATATATCTACATAATATAATAATAAAGGCACTTGCGTGATTTTCTTTTTGCTGGTCGCGCTCGTGGCTCCGTTGCGCTTCTGGACTCGAGCCGACACGCTGCCAGCAACGGACGAGCTCTCGCTGCCACCCTCGCTGCAGGTACCTTCGCTGGGTCCGCCACCGCCGATGCCGTTGCTCATCGCCGCCTCGGCTAGCACAGCACTGAGACCGAGTCCCTGCTCGGATTCGATTATGCTCTTTGACGGCATTATCGTCGTCGCTGTCGTCGTCGCAGCCGGGACTGAGGCCGTTGTCGTCATCGTCGTGGTCATCGAGGCCGTTACCTGCGGCTGATTTTGAACCGAGCAAGGTGCATCCTCGTAAACTGAACAACAACTAGCTAAGCTCGAGTCGCACGAGGCCTCGTCTAGACCGTTGCAACTGCTCGCGTAGTCGTTACTGCTACGGCTTTGTACCTGTCAAATCCAAGGCCCACTGTTAAAGTTCTGAGCTTCTCTCGTACTTGCGCGACTAAAAAAAACCTTACCCTGTTTGGCTCGACGGCGCATCCCTCGACGCCGCTGTCACTGCCATCCTTGCTGTCCTTGCCCTCGTTCGGGAAGTCTTTGCAGGTGGTGATCGGCGTGCCGACTACGTCCTCGCTGCCGCTGTTGCTACCCTCTTTGTTATCGACGCCCTCGTCGTCGGCAACGGCGACAACGGTCGCCAGTAGCGGCACGTGAATCACCGTGACATTGCACTCGCTGTTGAACGTGCAATTGGATTCGTTGATCGTCGTGTTCGACTCGTTGCCATTGATCGTGGCGTCGAATTTGCTCGCGTTGATCGAGCTGTCGAGAGGCTCGTCCTCGTTCATGGCCTTCGCCTTGGTCGTTTCGTACTCCAATATTTGCTTTTGTTGTTGTTCCTATCAGAGTGAATTGCCAAACGTTAAAAAAGTCCGAAGAATAAATTTGAATTATTCGATAACTAAGAAAATCTGTGCCAAGGAACATTAATATGATTGAAAAATAAATGTAATAAACTTTATCCACTCACTACGTTCTTCCCTTCTCTCTTCATGATCGTTTCGTCCATGGTCGAGCTTCGTTGGCTCCTCTCTCCTTTTCAATGCTCCTGAAACCTTCGTCTCTCGCACCAGTGTCTCGTCGCTGACTCTTCATCCATCGCCGGCTGCGTCTGAAGAAGCAAAACAAAAATTTAAAGCCGAGCCATGTACACAAATTCGACACGATGTCGTTCATTGGTAATAAAGTAACGAGCCTTTAATTAAATATTAAGAGGGACGACGGGTCGTCTCTTTACACAGCATGCGCAGGGTCACATGGAAGAAAGCAATTTGACAAAGAGGACGTCGCGATAACTCAGAACCCTCGGCACGGCCTACAATCAGCCTAAGCAAATTGAACGCGCATGTGTGTATTGCGAGCAGTATCGCGCGTACTCGAGTCGAGGGAAATTTCGTAACTCGTTGCATTAATATCACCACCGGATTGCAAGATAATGAATTTTCGAGCTTGGATTTCATAACGAACGTATCTATGAGTGAAAAATAGTCTGGCGTCAAAAAAATGTTTAAAACGAATCATTTCGTTAAAAGGGATCCAGCAAATGCACCATTTGAAATTTATTTTAAATCATAATGCTTAGACACCCTTTCAGTATTTTAAGAAACTATTTGGATTTTTAAGGCTTAAATGACCGCGTCTTAACGTGTTGTTGGGTCACTTTATTTGCATACATACCAAATATAGTTCAAGATTTTTAGGAAAATGAAAAATAATTTTAATTGACTAAAACGAGTACGAATTCATCCAAACTTTTGTCATACTTGAACCATTTAGAAATTAAAGTCCTCTAGTTTTTAGTATAATTTACAGTTTTCTTTTATAATATTTAAAGCGTATTATTCGTATGGATTCAAATATCCTACTCGTAATTAAATTATTTCTTTGCTTGAAATGTAATAAGAAGTTCTTTCACAAAGGAAGTTCTGAATTGGTAACTTCAGCTGTCATATAACATGAAACGCTTATGCAAGATTGACATCGAGCTGTCGGACACCTTAAAATCCTTATCTTCACGGACACGTAGTATTCAACATACAAACTCATTGTGCAAAGAAGTCAATCGATAAAACTATTTAAATCGGGGAATAACCGTTTAGACGAATGTTTCAACGACGAACGATGACGTCGAAGATAACGTCTCCTGCACTCATATATATATCTTACACCAACGAGCTCGTAAACTCGTCACTTTATCAACGAACTCGCACGTCGACGAAGGCACCCGAGTGTTAGTGCAATGTGCTCGTACGCATGAACAATTGACTTCATTGAAAAGTGAATCTTGTAAGGTGTACACTAAAAAAAAATAAAACTGCCAAGTTCGCTCAAGGCTCTGTGGAAGCAGCAGAATAGCATCAGCGCACCGAGGTGAGGATATATATCTGTACATATAATATCTATGCGAATAAACAGCTGCTATTCGCGCGTAAGCTCGCGTTACGCTCCAGCTTGCATGTAAAAAAAAATCAAATTACTCGAGCCAAACCAAAATAATTACGATAGCACGTGAACGTGCAGAACGTGCGTGTCTGTTCGTCTGCAGCATATGCAGGTAGTTCATCGCCAGTTATATATTACACGAGTGCAGGTTGCACAATAAGCGCAAAGCCACTCATAGTCAATAGGGAAATTAGCGCATTAATGTTTGAAGAATTTTCAAGTTTTTTCTTCTAAATTTCCGGCCGACACTCAGCTAATTCCAACGTAATCTTGCATTTGCATCTTCAACGTATAAGACGCTGAGCAAACAAAGCAATCACAGACACGAATTAATCTTCATGTTTATTTGTTTCATTTCATTCTAGGAATCTCATCAAAGAATGAGACTTCCAGATTTTCGTGAAAAATACGATAACAACAATAACGACGCGACAACGTCGACGAAGATGGAACGCATCAAAGGCGACGGGCTGAACATCAAAATGGCCATCAACTCGAACAACCTGTACGTAAGAGGCGACGGTTGTCGCGTCGAGCTGAGAACCAACCAGGGCCGGCTGAGAGTAACCGGTGACGGATGTAGCGTACACGTCGATCGGAATCTCGGCAGCGTCGAGTACCGAGGCGACGGCGGCTGCATAACTTTCGGCTCAGAGTCAAACGACAACGTCGTCTACAAAGGCTCGGGTGGCTTAATCACGTTTCCGAGTGGACATCATCGCGATCACAATCGTCGTCATCGTCCAAGCGAGAAACGCATTCAAGCGGTGAAAACGAAGACTACGACGACGACTAAGCAGTGCATCGTTGAAAGTGCATCGTACAGAGTAAAAACGCTTGTGACGAATTGTACCAATATCATGTGCGGAGTGTCGATAACGACGAGATGATCGAGTCTCGATACGAAATCAAATTCTTGAAATTTCATTTTATAATAATTAATGTCGATAACACGGGGAAGCACTCGTCTTGAAACGCACGCGTGTCATCGAGTGTTCGATTGATTTCGGTAACGGTGAAATCGCGATTTCGGATGAAAACGGGGAAGAACAAATTGAACAAAACAAACAAAAAAATGGTGTACGTCGTGAACTCGCGCTTACTCTACTGCGGCGCACGACAATGTATTTACAAATCAAGGAAAACGAAAGAGGCACATAACAGGAAGCCGAGAGTCAATTTTCCACTCGAAAGGCACGAATTGAAAACGAGGGCCTAATTGTTGTTTCTAAATAGATCGTGTGATCTTTTTGTGTTGGTATAATACCGATCGTGTAAATAAACGCTCTTCTCGAATTCATCCTCTTTTTCTCTATCCCTCTAATATTCCTATACGTGTACTTTGACGACATTGGATACACGTTGATTGTGATAAAAGTTAACGATCGGCTTCCGTCGCCGTGATGAATCTGCACTCGGTGTGGGAAAAAGGGGTTTGCCGAGTGAAAGAGAGTGCGACGCCGTACCGTCTATAATATCATCTCATTGTGATGCTCGTTGATATTATTGTAAAATAAATTTCAGCTCGTCGACTAATGTCATTGTTCTGCGCGACGATAATCGCGTGCCAAAGTTTATTTCTGTCTGCAATATTGACTTTGAAATAAGGCTGCACGATGATTAGAAAATTGTTGCAATTGAAGAGATAAGAAAAATCGATACATGACGATATCGATCGACGCATACAGTTGATTATTTATCTCCTGCAGCGGGTAGCAATTTTAGCTGGCAAAGAAAATTGGAGCAGCCGCAATGACCCGTGTGAAACCCAGTTCTACCTGTATCTGCACGCATATAACCAGCTTTTTTTTCAGTTTATCGAAATAGCGCAATCAAGCGTTTTGTATGAAGAGAACAAAAAAATGAAAAAAAAAAAAAAACGGAAGCATTCCAAACAAAAAGCACTCGACTGATTTATTCACCTTTTTGCTGTCGCTATTGTACAAATTTTCCAGTCAAGTTCCATTTATTCGAAGAAAAGTAACAAAATCAACACAGAACGAGAGAGGGAGAAAAGACAGTCGTAGCTAAAAGTCTAAATTAACTTTTGGCGATTATGGCCAGAAGCTGCATAGCCGTGTTCGCGATGCAATGTACGTATAGGTACGAGATGTATGGGCAGGCGTGCGCGCACTGCAAAAAGAAATTGCGAATTCCAGAGAGTCTCTCGAGCGCCGGGGCGATGACGATCCTCCGTGCATTTGAGCCGGGTCCAAAAGCGACTCTTTTGAGTGATAAAATCTCTCAACGCAACGCGGACACGGCTTCCAAAAATTATTTATACCATCTGCTGTATGACGGATCGCCAAATCTATTCCCGTACTTGCTGCCATTTATGCCTTTGCATTATACGCGTGTAAGAATCGGTATGCTAGATAATTCACGATGATGTAAAGCGCGCGTCATTGTAGTGGTTGATGTACAAATTCTCCGGATCGCAGTAGCAGGCGGCCGAGTTTGTTGTGCACAAGCAGCAAAAAGAAAATTAGATGCAATCGAGGTCGCCGAATATCGCGTCTCCCTAAGCACGACTCATTTGCGTGATGTAGCGCCGAGCCCAGGAGCCACGATCTTTTATGCGGATAATTTATAAAAGTCGCGACTGACTGGACATGTCGCGTTAGACTGCACAAAATAACGAGGAGTGTTAAAAAGCCCGCATTTCGTTTTGTTCAGACGTTTGCAAAGAAGTATATATAAACCGCATTTTCTAGCTGTTTTGTTGATCCCACTTGAATCTTTATGCGATGTATAATAACGAAAATTTATTGAACACATGATTACGCATTCTATGCAAAATAAGAGTTGATGTTTTAAAAGCAGACCAATATTCTGAAGCGCAAAGTAACTCCTAATTTTGAAGGTGCAAGGCAGACTGATATTTTATAGTGAAACAATAAAATGGAAGATCGAGTTAATCTTTGCAACATGAAATAAACGACGATTTTTCATCAGAAAATTAAGCATCATCAGAATTATAGCATTCACAAGATGAACGAGTCATCATTGCACGACTACAAAGTGTGAATTACTCTGTTAAATTGATGCGTTTTTTCACGTTTATACCGAGGCAGTTCTTACATGATGCATAGAAAATATCTACGCGAAAAAGATCAACCACGCGCCAGTATCTGGGAACAATTAAATTGTGCATCCACACCTATGTTTAACCTCAATATAGACGATATAAAGAACAATGAGAGGCCCCACGTCGAGTTACAAGTCATCGATTCGTCCTACATATTGTATTTTTCGTACGTAGCATATTACAATGAAGTTGCTTGTTGCAGGATATACACTTTATTAGTCATATGTTACCTACTGCTACCGTCAGCGACTTGATTGACCGTCAGAACGCTGTACGATATATGCAAGTTCGAACCGATGAATAACGACAAAAAATTACACTACATTAATTCACTGTAAGCTTCTTTCAGCGCATGTATATAGAAACAAATCGACGAGCATCGGCGAGCGAGCGAGCGAAAATCTCGAAAGTTTAATACGCACAGCCCGAGTTTAAAACAATCTGGCAAAGAGCAAAACTCGATCTCGGTGCGAACGAGTAATCCAATATAACATATAACATAAAATCTCTCTTATTGCGTATCTCGCTTTACACACATATGCACGCGTATATCCGCTTGGAAATGTATATGTGATATTTTTCTTACTACGCTGTACATGCGTACACACGCATCTCTATTTAGAGGGAGAGAGAAGCCAGCCGATGCGGAACAATCTGGGGAGTTCATGCACAGGGGCACATATAGAAAAATGTCATAACTGCCGATAGATGCATAGTCGGAATTTCCTTCATCGTCTTTGCTCGCCGATCGATTTTGAAAACGCGCTCGAGCGCAGGCCAGGACGATGATGATGGTTCATCGCGAGCGCCCCAAGTGGCGCACACATTATGCACCGATATTCGTCGATGAAAAAAATTGCGACATCCCGTTGCATAACGCACACACTGCGTCCGTCCGTCTATTATGTGTGCGAGTATGCAGCATGCATACATCGTGCGTTCGAGCATTCGGAATCATACAGACTGTATCAATAAATTGAAGAGATGCATCCAGCAGACTCTGGCTGATAAGCCGTTTTTTGCTGTGGACTGGGTCACGGTTGGTTGGCTAACGATCGCAAACCTGTCCTCGTCGTTCGCTCGTGTCGAGACAGCAATTTTGCCTCCGCTTCGGCTTGTCTTTCAAATTGTGTATTCATTAAACTTGGACACACGAGCAGCGGCCCACAGATGCACACTCGCACACTATCGTCGATCGAAAATTACCAAGGTGAAGGATATAATATCTTCTTTAAATATTACACACTCGTTGCTCTTCCGAGACATTTGCAACGAAAAAAATTGATCGTTCAACGGTGTGCAGACGCATACATTCGTTCCCTCCGTAATATATAACACGCAAAATTGGCAGAGAAAGGGCGCGCGCGCGCGAACAGCTGCTTCTTGTTCGTTTCTATAGAGCCAAAAAAGAAATGGAAGAAATTGGCTCGCTTCCTCGAAACGAATGATAATTGAGAGTAATGAAGTCGTATACATCATTAGAGCAATTTTACATCTCCCGATCTCAAAAGTAAGACTTGTTCGAGACTTGTTGAGCTTCTTCTTCGCTTTCGCGTAAGCAATCTCCTCTATTTTGTTGTTCTTTTTCACGGATTCTGCGTCTCCCTGAAGTCTTGCTAAGCCACGCTTGCGACAATCGATCGTCTAGTTATATACTCGCTCCGTGTATATAACTCACCCGAGTGAGAATAAGTCAATAATTCGCACCTCGAGTCACATCTCGTCATTCCGCAGTCGTCGACATCCCTTCTTTCAGCTTCAAAGGAAGAGAGCTATATTACGGGAGCGCAGTGACTCTTAGATGTCAAGCTTAGAAGGCAGCATCTTCAGTCGCATACGCAAATCGTCAAAAAGCAATTGGCCTTTCGAATTACGCAGATCTAGCATGCTATGTAAATGTATCTAAGATATATAATAAGGTGTATATTATAACGCTCGAAAGAAATTCTGAGCTTAGCCCTGAATGACTCGAGGAAAAAAAAGTACTAAAGAGCTTTTTTGTAGTAAAGTCTGAAGTCTAGTCTGAAGACGTATGGAAAGCTTGCTACTATAGAAAGAAACATTAAAATCTAAATCTAATTAAGTTCGATACGGACTTTCATCATCAAGAAAATTCACAGAGCTTCCGCGATATTGAATACAATTTCAACAATTTTCTAGTTTTTCTGACGCAGTACGAACCCTTCAACCCTTCGTGTTACATCTAGGTTCTGACATTTTTTGCATTAGTTGATTCTCTCCTCTTGTTGTAATATATCGCACCAACAATTTTCTGTTGGAATAATTTTAGCTCCGAGAATGCCCGGCATTTTATACTATTCTTTTTGTGAATGTAGATGTATATATTTAATATATATATATATTGGGTAAACCACTGCACGTGCACCGGTACGAAAGCCACAAAAGCCTCTGTTTCTTATGTATACTGCAACAGAGCTCGTGAACACACACGCATGTTCGCACCACGTTTTACATGCACAGAACGAATAATCTTAAAGCAACGGTCCTAAAACGTATTATATTCGAATGTAAAACCCAATCTTCTCTTAAAAATTCAAGCAAATTGACAAACTTAAAAAAGCTAAAATATGCCAAAAAAATCTCAAAAAATAAAATTCAACCAAAAAGTATAAATGGCTAAGTCGTTTCGGTTACTTATTGTGGCCTCCTTATTACTCGTCTTCTGCTCGTACTGTAACCCCTCTTATGTTGCGAAAAAGCACCCATCCACCCGTTTACTTTCAGAAGAGTCTTAGTCGGGCGAAGTGCATTGGATAGGGCTAGTTACAACTAAAATAATGTTGCTCTACGCTCCAAGACACGCATCGTATGCGCATAATACTCCCGTGCCAGCTTGATGCGTTATTCGAGAAGTACGTGCTTTCTTGTATTTTTTTTTTTGTTTCTCAAAACCGTGTCGCACAGCCGCTGCGATTCCGAAAACTAGCCGGCTGCTGCGAAGAAACACGTGTCGTGAATTTTGTGCGTGCACATTTTCGCATCTGGTAGTCAAGAGTTTTGCGCGAGTCGAGTTTATACGTATAAGCCCTTGCCGTGTACGTATGTGCAGCTTTGTGCATAGAGCGTATTTGTATGTCTATACGTATCGCAGCAGCACGTATTTATTGAGGGAGAAGAATTTCTCGTTACACGAGCGGGCGTTTTTCGCAAGTCGCGTACTTGAGACGACAAAAGAAATGTTAAAAATTGAAGAAAGCAGAATACATCGATGTACGGCTATATTTATAACAATACGGTGGATGCTTTCTTCTCCAAAGGGCCTTCGCCTTTTCTGTATCATCGAAGAATCATTGAACGCTCGTTAAATGAACCTACGTATACAGACTTTTGTTCATATGCGGAACTTGCATTATCATACGTACCCACGCGTAAATGTATGTATCTCTCTCACACACTCGCTCGCGCAGATAGAGGCAGTATGAGCTCGTTTCGTATGTAGACCGACTCGACTTTCCACTTGCTTTTATTAAAGAGATGTACATAAACCTTTTATGTTATTTGCGAAAAGATCTGTACATGCGCGCGTATATAATTTATAAATCGCATAAGTTCGTCGGGTGTAATACGTTTGTTGCGCGTATATTTTTGTACTCGCACGCAGGTAACAAAAGTTAGATCGTGAATATATATAGAGTAATGCTAAATGCATTTCAAATAGCACACCTCCCCGGGCGATCTACAGAATTAAAAAAAAAAAAGTATACGCCCAATTCTGTGCGTTCGTCGTAGAGATTTATAGCATCGAA